GGGGGGGGGGGGGGGGGGGCGCTCGGTGAAAGGGGGCTGCAATGCATGAATGCAAATACAGCCGTATTTCAAAATCAACAGCGCGAAGACAGTGCCACGACCCCCGCCTCTTCTGCTGCAGCGCCGCGTGTAGTGTGCGGGCTGGCTGCGGCCTAGCCACCAGCAGGGGGAGGTGGAAGGGTGTTGCCTCGCGCATGCGCACCCGCTGCCCGCCCCCAGTTTCCCGCCTCCTGCACAGGCGCGCTGGTAGCGGGAGCACGTGCGTGGAGCGGTGAGCTGGAGCCGGAACCCTGCAGCGCTCGTGGGGTCTGCGCCGGCGGAGGGGCAGCCACGCGGGAGGGCGGCCCCAGGACGTCCCCTCTGGGTTCTCCCGAGCCCGCGAGGGGCTCATTTCGTCCTGGCCTGTCTCGAACTGGCGTTTCCCGGTGCGAATCGGGCGGGCTGGGCTGCGTCGTTTTGCTGGGGTTGGCCGGTGGGTTTGTGCGGGACGCGCCGGGTAGGGATGATCCTGCCTCTGCAGCGCTCTTCCAGGTCAGCCCCGCTTCTCTAGGCAGAGCAGCCCTGCCTTTGATTGGGACCTTCCCAGGTGCTGCCTACTGCTGTGGCTGGGAAATGGCCTCAGACCCTAGGTCGGATGCTAATACACACCTTGCCTTGCCCAAGTACATCAAAGAGGGAACTGGCCCCAAAGTGCATATACAAGCTTCTTTGGGTGGTTATAGTTGCACTAGCGTGCGGCTTTCTTCTTCCAGGCCTGTGATATTTGTCTCTAGTGCTTTTAAAGCTTCAAGGGTGACTGGCAGGCAGCTTTCTGTGGTTCTGGGCTGAATTTCAGCTCCGTTTTGTTTGTAGAGTGATGACTTGTTTCCAAGTTGTAGGGCTGCACGCATACCAGTGGGATCTGAAAAAGAAGCTGGGCTTTGGTTCCAGTGCCACCAGTAACAAAGATTGAGTAATTAGTATTTTTTGCAAGGTCAGCAGGCATGGCTTGGAATGACTGCAGCTAGTAGATCCGAGTAAGAGAGCCATTTTTATATATGTTTTTTTTCAGTCTGATGCCTCCTTAAGAACTGGTGCAGGTGAAAAAGCTTTAACCAAAAAAAAAAAAAAAAAAGCAAAACCCAACCTGTGTTAATTTGAACTCGATTCTGATATGAGAAAACAGTGCTTTTCTAGAGGGGGAGTACAAAATTGTTGAGTATGGAATCATCATAGGTGCCTGAACATACAGTAAAATCTTACTCAGTATTAAGGAAGATGGAGCTGTATAACTGAAGGCATTAGAACTTAATTTTTGTTTTTTTAATCTGAAAAGTTTTATCACCTGACTTGCATTCCTATTTATTTTCTGTATTAGCATGGAGACTACCCAGATCAGGTGTGTGGGTATAGGGTGGGGAAGGGGATTTTTGTACCTACATAGAAAGACCTTGCCTCACATTGCTTACGACTAGGGGGAAAAAAAAACGAGATGTGACTGATAGGTGAGGCAAACAATGGAGTTTGGATGAGAATTGTGATAGTGATAATAGCAACAGCTTATTGTTAATCAAAGCACGCTGTTGCAGAGGGCGGTGCCATCAATAAAGGCAAAAAGGTTTTTTTTTGTTTTTTGTTTTTAATCTGCAATATTATGGAGCAATTAAAAAAAATCTGAAATGTGTTTCTGCTGTCTTTGTGCAGGTTCAAACTAAGGTTTTAGTTTTCAGATATCAATGCAGGATTAAGTTCCAGTTAAGCAGATAATTTAGTTCCTTAACTTCTACTATTAAATAGAAGACGGGGCAGGGTGGCATCTTAGACGAACACATTCAGAGGGATGAGCAACAGCCAACTTAATCAGATGCTATGAATAGTCCATTCATAGGATCCCACAAAATAGGCTATAGCCTATGATAGCTTGCTTATTCCTCTCTGAATGAGTTAGTCTGAGGTGTCACCCTGCCCTGTCTTCTAATGCATTTCAGACTAACATGGCAAACTATCTTTCTCTTATTGTTAAATTTAATTATACATGCTTTGATGCAATGTTTCAGGTTCTGTAGCTATGGAAGAAGACTTGGGATACAGCAAAGGTACTCAAAGATCATAGGTTGCTTGTTTGTTTGTTTTCTTTTTGAAAACAAGGTAATCTCTTTGAAATTCAGAATGGTTTAAAATCTCTTCTCTTTTGCCTTAGTTGAACATGTGGTAGGCTGTCATGTGGAAGATGCTGTAACATTTTGGGCACAGGTAAAGTAAACAGACTTTTGAATAAGATGCTCTGATTACGGTGTGTTACCTTATTTCCTCCAGAAATGTCAGTAGTGTACTAACACAAAAGATTAAAATGCCTGAGCAGGCATTTTGTAGCAGGTTCTACATGAAATTTTGAATGTTAAAATTTTAGGTCTTGGATCAGGAATAGTCTGGAAAGTTGATCGTGGTGCTTCTTCAAGGGTTTTTACATGAAAATATATAACATTCTAATAAAATAAAAGTAATAGAACACAAAGCATTGTTATTATGGGAGTTTTGGTACCATTTTTAATAACCATTTGGTGTGAGTTGTCTATTTTTTACCTAATTTTAAATGATGGAAATGTGTGTGCACATGGGGGAGGAGTGAAATACCTAAGATGCGTGTATTGTTAAAAGTAGTGCTTAACATACATAAAGACTATTTTTTGGTTATCTGTCAACTTTATGGCCAGTTTCACTTTCCTTTGTATAACCACTTTCTCTGTATAATCACCCAATCTTTATACGGGCTATAATAAATAAAAAATATAATGGGTAGGGTCATATAACATCATGAGAGCAGATGGCTACCTGATGCTAGACCTGCATGGGAGAGATGGCACATTCCACAAATACTGGTGATCCTTGACCCCACCTTCCCAATGCTCCCTTGCAAGAATTTCCCAAGTTTGTAGAATGTGTACTTCATGTAAAGGGACCAAATTGGAAAAGCTATTAGGAAATCTTCATTCAGAACAGTGTATTGGGGCTACAGAAGAGGCAGAGCAGAGAAACAGACAGCCCACTTGACCAAAGAGGACTTCGGTGAGTTAACCTTAGAAATCAGAGCTTTAAAATCCTTTATGGAGGCACAGTTTGATAAAATAGAAGAAGAGAGAAAAGAAATGGGGACAGGTTCATAGACTTGGAGAAAAAGGTGGAGGGAAAGCTGCAATCAGCAGTAAATCTGCAAAATAAATTATAACTGTGAGAAAAACGGGAGCTTGCAGAGAGAAGTGAAGATATAGAAAATTGTGAGAGAAGAAATAATATAAGAATAAGAGGACTCCCATAAGGTGGGGAGAAGGGAGATCCAGCTGAATACTTAAAGCAGGTATTCTGTTCATTCCTACAGCTGAAAACAAAGACAACAGCCTATGTAGATAGAACACATAGATCTCTTTGTACTCCGTTCAAACGAATCAAGAGACAATACTGCATTTGCTCTGTTTTTTAAAAGAGCAGATTCTGAAGAAGGCTAGAAGGCTTTTTATTCTACTCTGGGAGAATATAAAATACAAGTGTTTCAAGGTCCATCACAAGCAATCTTAGGGAGAAGGAAGGAACTGAATTAAATTACAGCATTCCTCAGAGACGTAATAAAGATACAGGTGGGATTTTCCTTTTGAACATCAAGAACAGCAGTACATTATAAAGGAGGAAAAAGAAGGTCTTAAATTATTGAGAAACTAAATGGAAAGCGCTGTAGAATCTCAGCTGGAGTATGACATGGACAATGAGAAGCAACACCACCGTAATACTGCATGTCAGACTCTTTAAGCTTGGGGGAAAGAATATGTCAAAGTAGAAGGGCAGGGAGGCTGGGAGAAGCTACAAAATTAGGGGTATTCAAGAGGATCTGTCTGGGAGTGAATAATAGTTAGATGGAGATTAAAAGAAAAAATGGAAGAGCGAATATCTCAAGGGGGATAATAAAGATTTAAAAACAATAATGTTGGGACCTGAAATTAGGAAAATGGGGGAAGTAAAGACATTTTAAAGCTAATAGCAAAGGGTAAACAATTGAGGGAAATGGGTAAATGGCACAAAAATAAGGATTGCTTGGGGATCCAAGTGGGAGGGAAATGGATTGGGGGAAGTTATGAGGGGAGGGGGCTTTACTGAATTGTCAACTTGAGAGAAACAATGTATAGAAGAATATGCATGCACCAAAACAGTACTGCAGGTATATTAAGCAGACCAAACTTAATCTAGATATGTTTTTTTCCTTATTTTCTTCATTATAAAGAGGTAAAGGCAGTTCCAGCAAATGCATATATTTGCTAGCCAGTAAGCCAGTATTTCTAACCAGATGGTTTAAAAAGTAATGTTCTGTTTATATTGATAGTACAGATGATAAGTTATAAGAATTGTATACCATATCTTTTGTAAATACGTAATAATTCAAACCTCATGCAATTTGTATGTCTTAGTCCAGTGTTGGAGTGGTTTTTTTTTTGTATGTTTGCCTTAAGAAAAGGAAGGTTAAATACAAAACATAGTAAGTGTCCCAGCTACTGTGATTGATCCATAGTTACACGATTTGATCAAAACATGTAATTAAAAGCAAAATTGTTTGCATTGGACCAAACTTAAACAAGCCTTGCATGTCAGAAAGCAAATTACGTACAAGTTGTCATCTTTTCCCCTAACGCTGGAAAAGGAAAAGTGCTAAATGCATGTTTCTGTTTCTGTTGTCTGTTAGGATTCAAATACTGTGGTGGTGTTTTTTTTCTTTTTACAAATTTTAGTAAGATCTTTTGTGTAGTTTTACAGACTCTAAAACTGATTCATCTATTAAATAATTTTTCAGGCTAATATTCTTCTAGAATTATTTATTTCTCTTGGATCTGGTTCCTCACCTCCTGTTTACTAGTATTTGAAAGAAATTGAGGGCAAACATAAATGCAATTTGGAACTGGGAAGGGAGAAAGTTAAGACATGGCAATGGTCCTGAGATAACTAAATGATTTGGATGACTTTTGGTTGTGTTAATAGACAATAATCCCAGATTTTATGGGGCTTTGCTGTGGTCTCTCCAGAGAGTTCCTGAAATGGAACTGTTGTTTTGAATTTGAAAAATAAATAAGTAAATAAAATCCTAAAATGGTCAAAGGTCCTTCTCTTTCCCTTCCAATATCTCTTGTCCCTCCCACCTATAGTACAGATGGCACTAGGGGTGGGCCTGGGCTGCATGTGCCCAGCCATCTGATTAGACAAGTTAAAAGTGCTCCTCTTTAAGAGAGTCTTCGTTTGAACCATCATATAATGAGGGTTAATTTGTCATGCAGTTAGGGACTTTTAAAATGCTCTACATTGCTGTCAGGGCAGGGCTTTTCAGGAGCTTTCAAGGAGCTGAGTGTACAACAAATGTAACTTCTGTCTGTGCCCTAAGACAGGTACCCTAACCAGCACTGGAATTTGTTCTTGTGGTCCAGAAGTGTCCTGAATTTTTTTCCCTGAAAGCTGGTTGCCTTGGTAATAGGTGTTTAAAAGCATACAAAAATACTAGCTAATGCTTCTTAACCTCTTCATATTTTTAGAATATCAATAGTAATGATGACATCTTGAAATTAAGCTGTGCACTGGCTGAAGTGTGTCCTCAGGCAAACTCAATTTTTGGCAATCCTGATCTTAATAAGGTTAGTAGCTTGTAATTGAGATGATTTTTTTTTTCATAAACATGAAAAGCAGGCAAGGTTTTTTGGGTAGATGTGCTATCTTTTATTAGACAAGCTGAATAGTTGGAAAAAAGTTCTTTGCAAACTTTTGGGTACAATCACTCTTCTTCAGGCATAGGGAGTCTGTGGGACTCAAAGGAATGAAAGAAGCTAAAAGTGTGACAATGTCAGTGAGCTATACACTGGAAATTAGGAAGACAAAAGGTAGAACAGGGGAGGGGTGGGGGATGGCAGGGAAGAAGAGCCAAAGGTGAGTAAGGGAGACTCTACAGTAGCAGATTATTTTATGTAACTAAATTCTTAGGTATTTTCTTGCTTTTTGATATTTCGGATCTTTATTCTCTCAGTTAAAAAAAACAAATATACCCTGGATATTCTTCGGGGGCAATTCTTGTTTTGTGTTGGGGTATTGACTCTTTCTTAGCTTTAGATTTAATTCCATTAAAAAAGCTATTAAGATATGCATAATTTGTAAATATTTGGGTTACACAGTTAACCAAGACACCTAGGAAATACCACAGTGATGGTTACAATTTAAATCTTAACTATGTCTCTGTCTAGTAGGCATGTTGATAGTCTTTTAGGCTGCTGACAGATGTGAAAGAAAACCCAGAAAACAGCCTTTACCAGAAAAGACATCACATTAGTTTGACTCTGCTTCCCAGCATCTGTATATATTGGGCGCTTCAGTGGGGATTCTTGGTGCTTTTATCTAATAGCTGATGCCTCTTCTGGGCATGTGCTGCACTTGATGTGGAGGCATGCTGAGCTTCAAATAAAGCACTGTTTTTTGGGCAGGGGTTCTCATCTGTAAGCAGCCTTAGTTACAGAATTATACTGGTTTTCAGCAAATGGTTCCATGGGAGCATGCAGGCTCTCAAAGGATTGTGTGCTGTCCTGTGCACAGTGAACAAATTGTCAGTTAAACTCACTGACAGAAGTAGTACACAACTGGCATTTCTAAACTATTTTACAAATGAAGTATGCAGATAGAGGAATAGTGAAATGTTTTTGTTTTATATGTATATGCCTGCCAAGATTAAGGCATCCTACTTTTGCCAAGTACTCTGAATCCCAGAGTGCTTAAAAGTCAGTGCAGTGTAGATGGTTTCCCTTCCAAGCAGTTAAAGATGTTTGTGAAGTACTATTCTCCCACAAGGGGGTGCCTTCTGGCCTTTGCTCTTATGGGGTGTCGGGGGGAGGAGCAAGGCACTGGGATGCTGGAAGACCATTGGCATGTACAGATGTTCCAGAAAGCACTTCAAAGATGTTCTTATTTTTGAGTGTCATTTTTGAAGTACTGCTTCACCCTCGTGCATCTGTACCCTCGCTGATTGGAATGCTCCAGGTAGCCCATTTGTCCATGACATTTGTAGCAAATGGTCTTGCACCTTGAACGGCAGATAGGATCTTGATTTGTTTTTGCGTGCAGGAAAGTTTTTGTGACCAGAGCCTTACCTTTTTCAATTTACCTCCAGAAATCTGTGGTGTTATGGACGTATTACATAGTAAAATAGTTGCAGTGCAGCAGAAAGAGCAAATCTTTATGAATCGGATGCAAAAAATGTTTTGCGATGTCTTTGCCAAAATTTTCTTTGAGATAACGCATCTAGCTGTGCAATGTATTATTTTTGAAGTATTTGGCATGTGCTCGTAGCTGAGACCATACTGGGTTAGGTAGAATGTCAGTCTGCTTCCGTATTGTGCAAATAACCACAATATATACTGTAAAATAAAGTTTGTAATGGATTGTATCATCTTGAGCTTCACTTACACTTACACAATACTACTTTTTTTCCTGTTAAACAGATCTATGGAGGCTGTTTTTCTGAAGATAAATGCTGGTACAGATGTAAAATACAGCAAGTGATCAGTGATGAAAAGGCAGGACCTATACATTATACTTGCATTATAATTCTGTACTATTTAACTTCTGAATACATATTTGTGGAAACAAAAGAACACTCTGCATCTGAGGCTTATTTTTCTAAACATGTAGTTATTAGTGAATAGCATGCATTAAAATGATATGTTTTTATTTGCATAATTTGGGAGTATCTATCTTTTCCAAGTGATATGTATTCTTACGTTTCTGAAATGGTATCTGGCAATAGAGATTGCTGTTTGTCTCAGTTAGTTAGTGTGGTGTTAATAATACCAAAGTTGCAGGTTTGATTCCCTGGTTAGACTAGATGATTTTTATCAAGGCAGCAAAAATGGTTCTGGGGCTGGAATACATGATTTCTGAGCAGAGACTGAGGAATTGAGGTTATTTAGTCTGGAGAAGAGACGACTGAGAGAGAATTTAACAACAGCCTTCAACTACCTGAAGGGTGGTTCCAAAGAGGATGGAGCTAGACTGTTCTCAGTGGTGACAGATGATAGAACAAGAAGCAATGGCCTCAGGTTGCAGCAAGGGAGGTTTAAGTTGGATATTAGGAAAAACCTTCTCACTAGGAGCGTGGTAGTGAAGTCCTGAAATGGGTTACCTAGAGAGGTGGTGGAATTTCTGTCTTTGGAGATTTTTAAGGCCTGGCTTGACAAAGATTTGGCTAGAATGATTTAGTTGGGGATGCTCCAGCTTTGGACAGGGGGTTGGACTAGATGAACTCCTGACATCCTTTCCAACCCTAATTATCTATTATTCTAGTGCTGAGGGGAGAAAATGGTAGTATTGGTAATAATTGCTAAAATGAAATTGCTGATACTTATATTCTTCATTTGGCTCTTCATGAAGCTCCTAGGCTGCAAGACAAGCATGAGAGAGCAGAGTCTGAAGTGTCTGATGATTGCCTTTGAACATTCCTTGGATTTCTCATCTGCCCTATGAAGACAGTCTGATTCTCTCCCCCTTCTGCCATGTTTTCCTGCATCATCTCATAGCTAGCTTTAAATCTGGAAAGTTATCAGTGTCAAATTTATTTTAGCATTAAAAAGTTTAAGCTTAGAGAGAGAAAATTTGTATGCTTCCTAAATGACCCCTTCATTTAAAAAGAACTCAAGGTGTAATACAGGATTCCAGTTGGAGCTTCTTAGTTATTTGAGGGCAAGTAAATGAGGATATTATACACTTTTTGGATGGGATTTTCAATCACTTTTGTGTTATCACTGCTTCTTTTGAAATAATTGTGCCCATGGAAATTTAAACCCTTCAAGTGAATGTTGAGTGCTTTGGAAATCTCAGCTGAAATGTCTTTTTATATAATATACCATGTTTTTTCTTGTACAACATGACGCAGGATAAAATGCACACCTTTTTTTTTATTCTGCCTTCCCCAAAACAATATTTCCTTACGTAGAACAGGGATGGAGAGAGAAATTCTTCAAGGCTGTGAAGTAAGAGGAGAGACACCAGGAGTAGTTAGCAGACAGCAGAATGGCCAGTAGGAAGGTCAGTTTGATAAGTAGAACATCAAGGCCATTAAAAAGGAAAGACTATTGTTAACACGTGTGGAATGAAGAACAGTGAATCATTTAATCAGTTGACTCCCTCAGCTGCCAGAAAAGAAGTGCCACTGATGCTGTTGGACATTTGGTTTTGGAGTAAGAATCAGTGGCAGGGCTTTCATTGTGGGCAGAAAAATTGTTTTTCTCACTTAAGATATATACCTTGATTTTTGAGGGGACTGATTTTGGGGGTGAAAATGTGTTGTGTGTGTGAAAATAAGGGATATTAAATTTCCTGAAAAGAATTAGCTTGCTATTCAAAGACTTAGGTGCCTAGTAAGAGTGAATCTGCTTTTATGTTAAAATAGCTTTGTAGATCTACTGAGAAACTAGCATAACTGCAGTAGAATCATATAACTTTGAAACTCCAAACAGTCTTACTTTTTAGGCTCACTTGTAATCATTCTGGGTTGGGCCATAAAACCCGAAGCATCCACTGTGAGAATTGTATTGAATGGGCTGAATTGGGTTAATGAACAGTTGGTATGTTTTTTTTAAAGGCTGTCCTGACTTAAAAAAAAGACAAAACTCTTCGCTGCCCCCCAACCCTTACCTTCACTAGCCAAGGCATTAGAGAAAACCCCTTAATGCTTATGATAGAGACCTTTTCTGTTTTTGAGGACAGACACTTAATGCATTTCATACTGGCATCTTCCTGGTCCTCTTTCATGTAACATTGTTCCGTCACATAACAAAATTGTAAGATGCTTATTAATAGTGCATAAAGCAGTGCTTCCCAAACTTTTCCTCAGCATGACCACATTTCCTCATCATGGCTCCAGACTCCCAACTTGCAGTCCCCCACCCCTCCAAGTGTCGCCACAGCCCCCTGGCCCTTCTGGTGCCTCTTCCTCCCAACCTCCAGCTCCCCACTCCCCCCAGGTGCCCTAGAGCCAGGGCCTACAGTCCCTTGACCCCACACCAGCAGCACCCAAACCCTGGTTGCTACCTGTGGGAGGCAGCAGCTGATGCAGCAAGAGCAGAGCCCAACTTCTGCTTCCCCCCCATCCCTTCTGCTGTGGGTGGCACGGTCGGAGAAGAGCCTATAGAGGGGTGGGGGGGATGCAGGCTGCTTGCTGTGGGCTTGGGGCTCTCTGCCCTGTTGCCCTCCCTCTGGGGGCTCCACAGCCCAGTGGGCGGGACCTGGGATGGGAGAGAGTGCCACACCACCTTTGCCACCAAGTTTGAAGTGCCTGCTGCCCGCCTGATAGTAGTGGGGGCACAGCTACGCACCTCTGCCGCGCATCACTTTGGCCATGATGGTGTAGCGCTTCCTCCTCTTCCAAGTCACAGGGTTGCACAGAGTCGCAGAAGTTTAGGGTCCCATCTGCTGGGCTGCAGAGGTGGCTCCTGCCTGGAGCTGGTTCAGCCCTGCATCCCGCTGTGGGAGCAGAAATTTCGTGACTCCCAACTGCTGATGTTGTGATCCCATTTGGGGTTGTGACCCACAGTTTGGGAACAGCTGGCATAAAGCTTGTGGTTGTTATAGCCTTGTTGTTCTGAAATGAAGGACATTTATATTTGGAAAGAGGAGGCAAATGTTGCCTTAAATCAGCTAGAGGAGTAAATGGAGTTGTGAGCAGTGATTAGTTTCTGCTGTGAAGAAGAGTTGAGAATAACAAGTGCTCAGGATTTTTTAAGCACAAAATGGAAGAGTCTTGAGTTTGAAAACAAATTATGTGGACTATAAGAGTGGCACAGTAGTGTGAGATGATAACTGTTATTTGTAAATTAAGGCTGTATTTGTAGTCCAGTCAGTTTTGAGGGTGAACTTCTTAGTAGGTTTGTTCTTACAAGTGATTACCTGTTGCCCTTGATCAGCTGCAGGATGTATGTATTGTTCCATAAAGAACAATTCAAAATATTTAATGTTTTTTTAATAAGACTCAACATATTACAGTAAGATGATTATAATAAAATTAAGCTTCTGTACTTACTTATTTTATTGTGTAGTGCCAAGTGTTCTACATTGATTATGGAAATTCTGAAATTCTAAATCGATCAGATATAGTTGAGATTCCATGGAAATTGCAATTCCCTGAAGTGGCTAAAAAGTACAGATTTTGGGGACTACAGATTCCACCTAATCAAGACTTAAACCAGTTTGATCAGGTAAGTTTAAGACTTTTGATAAATATTTGTGTAAGGACCTATATAACATAAAGCCAAATTATCCACAGTAGCAGTTCCTGAAGGATGACTGTTGAAAATGTAGTTACTCTCAGAGATGTGGAGCAGAAAATTTTCTAATGTTTTTCCTATGGGAAATTTTCCATTTCTAAAAATTAATTGTTTCATAAAATTCGTTAGTAACAATGAATGGATGTCAGTACAATATTAGGCAAGCTTGGCAGTTTCAGAGTTGTAATGAGTGATTTTTCAGGTGATTATCCCTAAGAAGTATGTGAGAGAGTACATGTATGTTGTATTGATTTGTAAACAGGAGGGTAAATACATTCACATAATAATCCAAACCAAAAATCAAGTTGTGAATTCACCTAATTGGCTGTGCATCATATCAAAACCAAAGCTAAAATTCTTATTTGATCTCAGACTGCATCTGAAAGCAAAGCTAAAACTACAGCTGTGATTAATGTTTGTTTCACTTTCAGTTCAGCAAACACAGAGCAGTGTCTCATTTCTTTTTGAGTTGGGGAAGTTGGAAGGGTTTGCGTAAGATGTGTTAGTTTTTAGTGCTTTTAGTTTCAAGTAGCCATAATAATGCCTAATCAGAAAAAAAACTAGTGTGTGGCATCATTATAGTGAAATTCAAGTCACTGAAGGAAGGAAGAAAGTTGGCAGATGTAAATATTGCAGGCAGGAGTATGTTAGCAATGCAACAAGAATGAAGAAACATTTAATAGCATGTAGAAACTGTTCTGAAAGAGTACAAGCCCCATACAGAAAGCTAATACAATGAAGTGGTGGAACAACATCATCTGAGAAAAGTCTACTTCAGGAATCCTATGTAAGTAAACAAATTAATATCGTAAACACGCAGTATAGACTAGCATCTATACGGTTTTAAAATATTATAATTTTAAAAGTTGTTAATGCAACTCTGGACTATTGTTTGTTTGTTTATTTAAAATAGTTGTTTCCTGCTTTTCTGCTTGCACTAAGCACCCAAAGTGGCTTAAGCTTAACAGTAATTAAAAAAAACCCAACATCATAATAGTTAAATATTTCAACCCAGCAGAGGGAGCTTAATTCTCTGCCTGATGGCAGAGGCCAGACTATGCTTCCCTTTGGCTAAGCATAGCAGCAAATTGAGCATCAGAGTGTTCTTTCTGGCAGGAAGTGGGGAAGCAAGCTCCTTGCTGCTGCTTCTGATGGATGAGGCCAGACTAGAATAGGCTAAAATAGAAATCTTTCCCCATTTTGTTGCAGGAACGTGGTAGCTCAAGTGAAATAGCAGATTTGCAAAAAATGGAAAATGAAAATGTTGAGCTGCTGGGTCTGGGGGAAGAAGCAGCAGGATCCTCGCTTTCAAGATCACTGTTACCAGGTCTACGATCCACCATGAGTAGCTGTTCAAGACCGTCAAGCTTTGTGGACAAAATGTCAAAAGTAGATCAAGAAAAAGCAGATGAGACATTAGCTCAAGCTATATTTGCAAGTGGTACACTTCTTTCCATAAGTGAAAATCAATACTGGAGAGAAAGTTACAAACTCATGTGCCTATCATATAAGTTACCATCACATTATCGCTTATCACATTCTCTCTTAGGGACTAAGATAGAGTTCAAACAGTGGTTATTCAAAGGATTGGTCAAGCAGAATTGCTGACTATGATGTCAGATGGATGGACTGATATACAAGGAAGTTCTTTATTGAACATTATATTAGCAACACCTGAACCAATATTCCTGAAAGCAATTGCTACCAAATCTTCTTGTCATGCAGGTGAATACATAGACAAATTACTGAGTGAAGAGATTGAAAGTGCAGGTCCCTCTAGGGTACAAGTCCTTTTAACTGATAATGTGAGTAAGATGAAAGCTGCATGGCAAATATTAAAGTTAAAGTATCCACATGTAATAGTATTCGGTTGCCTTGCTCATGAGTTGGATCTTATGGCAAAGGGCATAGAAAGTGTGAATACAATGAAGACCATATCGGCAAATTGCAAAGTGATTGTGAAGGTATTCAGCAATCAGGCTGCTAATTAGACTTTGAAGAAATTACAGAAAGAGAAGCAGGGGAAGGAAAGTGCACTTTTATTGCCAGCAGAAACTAGATGGGGCTCAGCTACAAAGTGTTTATATAGTTTGCTGTGCACAAAAAACTGTTTGCATTGTACTTCAGTAGATGACACAGTATCCCAGATTTATTCTCGTGAACATTTGGAAGCAGATTCTCGACATTGGTGTGTTCTGGGTTCGAGTTCAAGGAGCATTCAGTTTGCTACTTTGAGTTTCAGTGGCTATCGAGAAACTTGAAGGAGATGCACCAAACCTTTCAAATATTCCAGGGATATTTGGACAACTGAATGAATTGAGACAACTGAATTGAGCTTTTTGCCTCCTTCACCTCTATCCAAAAAAGAAGTAGTAAAATAAATGTTTACTGAGAGATCTGAGTTTGCTGCCAGGTGAACTGGATGAGAGCAAAACCTTTTGGATCCTCAACAGAGAGGACAGCATCTATCAGAAGATGAATTATGTATTGTTCTCAATACAATTCTGGAAGTAGCTTAAGAATGTCCCCAACATCGAATAGCCGTGATGACAGACAATGCCTAGTACTGTGCAAAAGAAAAGCTTTGGAGCAAAGACATTTGGCGGGCAGCAGAGAATGTCTCCTCTCACATGTTGGAAGGGATACTGTAATACCCAGTTGTTGTCCAGGATTGCTGTATGGATCCTAAGCATTCCACCAATAGCAGGTTCTTGTGAATGGAAATGGAAGGCTTTCAGCTCAATCAGGACAAAAAAGAGGAATAGATTAACAAATGAACCTACCTCTAAGTTTGTTTCTATATCTCAATCTCTTGCTTCTGGAGAATCGGTCAAAAGCACAATTAGTGAGGAAGATGCAGTGTGCTGATAAGATGTCCTTGCCCATAGACTCATTGGTAAAACCATCCTTTAGCAAAAGAGAATGTGGTTCAAGTAGTTCTGAATCAGATTTGCCTTAATCTGATTCTGAAATGGAACTAATATTAGTGCAAGTGATTCTACGGCTAGTGACAGTGAAACTGGAGGTGCCGCAATGACCTCAGCAGAAGAAAGTTAAACTCTGTTGAAATAGATGAGTGGACGACATATCATGGCACAGTATATCATGCACATTTCTTTGGGTGTGCTAAAGTGAGTGTCAACAGTTTTCAGTGCCTTCGTTTTTTTTCTTAGACAGTGTAAGGAAGTACATGCTATTGTGTATTGCCTTTGCATTTTTACAAGTATTCCAATAAAAATAATTTCTTTCCACATAAAGCTTTGAATTTGTTTGAGTATAACATTTAAACCGGATTAAGTGTGCTGTACTTAATTTTTTTTTTCTAATCATATATTTTTGTTTAAATACTTGTGGCTATTGGGACCTAAAATTTACACGGGGTACTTTTTTTTAGTTTTGTTTATTAAATACAAGTCAAATAAACATGCTAAATTAGATCACGCTCTGTTTAGGACATTGACAAATTTCCAGAAAAATTTTCCAATTCAAAATTTTTCAGAAAACTCACATCTCTGGTGGTTCACCAAGGCCAGGGGCATTGTGGGATACTTGGAACATAGTCTGATCTCTTGCCATTTACTTCCAAAAACTAAAATGGCCGTCTTAACTCATTGAGAACCTGTCTCGGCAAAAAGGAGGGTGATCTTGTTGTTTTAGGAGTACTATTTTTTTTGGGCTTTTTTCCAGAATCTGCTTCATATTCTCTGTGGCGTTGAACAAATAACATGGCTCTCTCTCTCCATCTTTAAAGGAAAAAGTATGTTCCTAAATGACAAGGGCACTGATAAATCCATCCAAGTTTGTGATTTGCTCCAATACCACGGTGATTGGTGCTACAGAAAATAAATCAGTAAATTTAGGTAGAATAAATACAGGTTGAAAGGACAGAGCTAGAAAAACACCTTCTTGCCAGAAACAAATGTGAATTTGCTTCTTGTTTATAATCAATGGTACAGAAGAGAATTGGTTGGTTCAGGCCAGGTACAGACATTACACATTTACTGATATAAATTATTGGAAACTGGTCTATACCCATAACAGCATCAGTTTGGTATACAAAAGTGGTCTATACCTGTAATAGGACAGAAGTGTGGCGCACACGGACTGGTTTAAAAATGATGGAACCTGGTCTTAGAATTTGTTCTCCCTGCACCTGCAAAGGGAAGATGTTTTGTTCACTACAGCTCTAAACTATGCCACTTACCGAAGACTATGCAACTTAGATTGATTCTGCCTTGGGTTTTTTGAATGTCTGTACCTAGGCTAGGTTGATGCTATAGTTGTGACTGGTAACCACTCTGTTAGGGTTGCCTAACGGGATCCATTATAACAAACTGTTTACAGATGGCTTTGTCAAAATGCAGTTGTGTGAACTTTAATTTCCTGTGCTTGTGTTCTGTTTGGTCTGAAGATATTTTCACCACCCTCTCCTCCTCCAGGAAAAAAACAACTCCAACAAAAGCATCCAAGGAAAGGGAAACTTCAGTTCCAGCATTTCCTTTTTTTTTTTTTTTGACTAAGTGATGTTTCAACTTTTAGATTTAATGTAGTGTTTGATTATGTAATAATTCATTTATCATTGACAGGCTCAGGAAATGGGAAGATGAGAACTTGATGGTGTTTAACACCGAAAAATGCAAGGTTCTCCACCTTGGGAGGAAAAACCTCCAGCATCCTTATAGGCTAGGCAGTGCTTTGCTGGTTAGTGCTACAGATGAAAGGGACTTGAGGGTCATGATTGACCACAAGATGAACATGAGCCTTCAATGTGATGCTGTCGCTAGTAAAGTAAGCAAAATGCCGACTTGCATCCATATTTGCTTCTCAAGCAAATCCCGGGATGTCATTCTCCCCTTGTACTCGGCCTTGGTGAGGCTGCAGCTGGGGTATTGCATCCAGTTTTGGCTGCACGATTCAAAAAGGATGTGGAGAAGCGTGAGAGAGTCCAGAGAAGAGCCACGCGCATGATCAGAGGTCAGGAAAACAGACCTTACGACAATAGGCTGAGAGCTATGGGACTTTTTAGCCTGGAAAAGCGCAGGCTCAGGGGTGATCTCTGATGGCCACCTATAAATTTATCGGGGTGTTCACCAGGATCTGGGGAACGATTGTTCACTAGAGCGCCCAAAGGGATGACAAGGTTGAGTGGTTATAAACTCCTACAAGACCATCTCAGGCTGGACATAAGGAAGAATTTCTTCACTGTCCAAGCCTCCAGGGTCTTGAACAGCCTGCCATCAGAGGTGGTTCAAGCACCTATGTTGAAGGCCTTCAGGAGAAATTTGGATGCTTATCTTGCTGGGATCCAATGACCCCAGCTGACTGCCTGCCTCTTGGGCAGTGGGCTGGACTCGATTTTCCAAGGTCCCTTCCAGCTCTAATGTCTATAAAATCTATGAAATTTATATTGTGTTCCATTTCAGGTTGTGGATATGTAGCCGACCACTACTTTTATTTTAATATACTCTATAGTAGTGAGGACTTAAATGGGAGATAGTTTTAAGCTATATTTAAACTCATGGCAAATTATTTATGCGACTATGGTTATAAAATGCTGGCAAAAATGGAGGTTAAAAGAATGTCATAAACCACAACAATAATTAAAATAAGACCGCCCCTTGTATTACTGAAAGGATAACCTTTGTACAATACTATTAGATACTAGTGTTGCCTGGGATCTCCAAAACTGCTTAAGGGTAGTTAAGTACCCAATTTTGATTGCAGGTCAATGGAATTGTGGACATCTAACTTACAACTGCCATTCATATCTTTTTAAAGTTTGGGGATTCTTGTCTTCAATAAGTCCATTTACTAGTGGAAAGTAAGTTGAGTTGAAGAAGAAACTATTCATTATGAGCAGTTTTTATAACTTCTGCAAAATTTTCTTTTACAGGGGAGGAAGTTCTTATGCAGCCTAACTTTTGAAAAAAAGATAAGGATGCGACACAAAGCGCTATATCAGGATGGTACCATTGTTGCCCAGGCAGAATGTGGAGAAGTGGATATCGGGGAAGAGATGGTTAAGAAGGGGTTTGCTGAAAAATGCAAGTTTCCTCCCAATGCTAGCAGCTGTGAAGAGAAAAATTCAGATTCAGTTCAGTGCCTGGCTTGGAATGTAAAAGGTTCAGTTCCCTTGTGGGCAAACAGGTGCAACCCTGCAGTGTACAGCAGAAGAAAAGCATGTTTTGGTGACCAGCTAGCTACCAGCCTAAGGAATTCTACTGGAAACCATATGCCACTTGCCAAGTAAGACAACAGAGGGTGATAGATGAGTGTGGTGGTGTTTCAGTTAGACCAAAGGGTATGAGCAAGAGAGGTGGTGTGAAGACAAAAAAAAAGATAAATATATAGCTAAGATGTTTTGTCTTCTACAAATGTTTGTGCTTTTTTAACTAACTAGAACATTTTTATGCAGGTTGTATTTCTGATGATTGTTTAAAGTATGGTCTTAGGGCATGTGTAGACGAAACGGGGGCCCTAAATAGAAGCAGTGGGTCTTAAAAAACACTGCTTCAATTTAGGGCTGATTTAAAACCCTGTGTTGTGTGCACACCCCGCTGACTTACCTGCCTCTTCGGCAGGGAGGGGAGGGCAAGCTGCCAGTGGTCGGAGTGGTCCCTGGGCTGCCGGGGTGGGATGGTGCTCCCCCCTGCGGCAGCGGTGGCCCTCCCCCAGGTGGCATCTGCCCACAGGTACCCAGCTTGGGAGGTCCCAGGGGGGCACTGCAGCCATGGAGGGAAGCACCGGGCCCCCGCACAGTCCAGGTAGACAGGCTTTGGTGGAGGGGGAAAGATCAGGCTCACTGCTTTCCTGGGCTGCTGCCAGGTTCCCTGCAGGGCTTCCTACAGAGCTGTGGAGCTGCATGGAGCCCGGTGCTTCACTCTGCAGCTGTAGGGGCAGCAAACTAAAACTCCTTGAATACTTTTTAGTTTGTTGTGCCCCAAGTTGTTTAAGGCGTGTTATGCTACTGAATTTCCTACAGCGGCTGGAATTAATGTGCAATACGCTGCCGAGGTGTGCAAACACCAACACTATTAAAGTGGTGCAAAAGCATTTTGCCTGTTTCAAAGTGTCATGCACACACGCCTCTTGTTTCATCTATACATGGCCTTAGATTTGTATCTGAAGCAATAAATCTCTGCAGAGATGAAGACTCTTAATTTACCTGAACGCTTCCATTGCCAATTATGTGGAATCAATAATTCTGTTGAAACCATTTAATTGCCAATTATGTAGAATGTAAAATACATTTTTTTTTCTAGAAGGACAAGTACTGTTTGGCTATTTATTAGTGTGGGAGAAAAATTTTATGTTCCTATGAAATAAAGCCAACAGTCATAATTCAAAGTAAGCCTTAGGGGGAAAAAAGGTATGTCTGTCTATGGTGTGTCTCATCTTACATTGGCAAGAGGTCATTGGGGTTTGGTGACTGCCGTCATCAGTATTCTTTATAAGGAGACTCATCGTTATGGTATGTAGGATTGCCATGGGAACTAGCTACCAAGGGAAAGATTTGTGAGTGGAAAAGATAATGCTCAGCACCTAGAAACTTAAGATAGCAGAATAAATCTTTTTTTTTTTTTAAATCACTGGCACTTCATAGTTGGCTAAACTATTTAGGAATTTCTAGAGCACCACTGAAGCAGTTGAGAGCGGCCTTCCCCCACAGTGTGGACTGCAATTTTATATTCAGAACTAGACGATCAAAATAAATGTCCACATCGATGTTTGTTGGAACTATAATTGGATGTACATCTAAAGTAGCTTTCTAGTAAACTGCCTCATCCCTGAATAATTTTAACTAGTCAGTGTGGCAGAAAGCCACCTTGGTTTCTCCCCAAAAAATCTCTGCCCTGTGACACAGTGATTTAAATCTCTGTGCTGTGACCATTCAATCAGGGTGGGCCCAGCACACAGGGGACCGCACCCTCAGCCTGTCTCTTTAGGGAACTGGAGCTGGCTGCATTCCTGAGGGAGGGGGAAACCTGCTCCCTCTGCTTACCTGACTTGCATCACTTACCTGGGTAAGGGGTTTCTACCTGGGGAGCTGG